AATAAGCATCTTCCCTTGTTATAGATTTTTTGCAACATACATTCCTTGATTAATTATTTTCTTAGACTAAAGTAAGTGAACCAATAATGTAAAGGGGGTAGGGGAACGAAAGCCGCCAGCTTCGGGCGCCTGCGCGGACTGCTGGTCCTGGAACGACATGCAACAACGTTGCGAAAGGACCAGTTAGCCGCGAAAGGCGGCTCAAACTGGCGGCTTTCGTCCCCCTACCCATGTAAAGGTGCTATTTGGAAGAGCGTTCGCTTTGGGACCCGCGGTTTCCCGCTGTTGGAAGATTTTTGAATTGAGCTTACGATTCTTTATGTATTAGATATACGAGAAATCAAAAATGCTAAAACGATTATTTGTGCCGCTCAGTTACTGTCTTACAATTAGTTTTCACGCAAGATTTGTTCAAGTTATTAACTATAATGTCCAGGTTACGAAGAGTCTTACAAATTTCAAAAATTGTTTTAATATATCTGATTCATCTTTGGCTCGCGAATCATTACTAATTTTATAACGATTTCGAAAAATAAAAATAGGAAAGGAAGCAATTTTAGCATCTACTCCTATACTGTTGCTAGAAGAAATTAATTCCGATCCACGCAACTCTGAATACAGAGAGGAGACTCCTAATCGTTTCTGATTTGTGGTACAAAATTTTTTCCCAATGGCTTATCCAAATTCTGCAGATCAAGTCTTTCAGATATTTCCTCTCAAGGTATATCTATAACTTTTTGTTCAGCCCTTCCCATGATTACATCACTCCGCAATGATATATCTGTCACATTTCTGCTAGCAGACAACCGAATAACCTTCTTAATCCTTCATATGGTAGCTTGAAAACTTGCTGCAAATCTAACTGATATGCTCTTCTCTACCCAAGAAAATAAAGAAAGAAATAACATTGATGGAAGGTCATGGAGAGTACCTGCAATGTTTGAATGAGAAGAGTACAAGTTAAAACTTGAGGCCTGCTTGATCAATCTTATTTTATTTACTTTCATACATCGAACTTCCTTGTTTGCAGCTCAAGTAAACAATGTGTGAGATGTATGGATTTTGATTTCTTGTGTTATAAATTTTTATACTGAAACTCATCAAATAGTGATCTGCTAAAATGAGCAAAGCTCATTTACAGCTACAGAGTATTGAAAAAATTCGTTTTGGGTTACTGAACAGCACAAAAGTCACCAGAATTTATGCAAATTCTTTACCAAAAGTGCAAAAGAAAAGTGTCTGAACAGCAATTAATGCAACGTATACAGGATTTTCATTTCAACTAGAGCATATTAACAAGTGAGCTGAATCGGTCAGTTGGTTTTTCCCTTTTTGCACCTAGTCTATCAAATGTTCTTCACTATTTCTGAAAGCTGAAGCTCTTGAAATTTTGGATAACAGTAAAAATTTCGTGCCTTTTTTATCGAAAAATTCTTTGACAGAGCTCTCAACTTCCAACTCAAGTATCTCACGTTTGGCTGTGCACAATAATTACAACTATTGTTCTACAAAGTACTCTACTTCCAGTACTTGTATGCAGAAAGCATCATTACCATCTTGGTGTGTGAGCGTGAGGTATACGGTTGTTATACGGTAACCTCATAGTAGTGACCACCTTGAGCTATAAGTGCAAAAGAGGTGACTTTGATGCAGAAGATCTCCAAAGTTTGTTCCTAGTTATTTCCCATTCTTCACCAAGATATGATCTAAATAGCTAGCACCGGAAAAAATGATCTAAAATTTTATGGACCCCCTTACTCATTCTCAAGTGGCTATAAATCACAGGGTGGTATGCAACAATACTCTGCTTTTTCCTCTAGCTAAAAGATTTTAAGGTGGGTCTCTAAAACGCTCAAATCGCCTACATTTTGAACTCTGCGGTTTGTCGTAATAAAATCTTTAGAACACATGCTGTTCGCCTGTCATCACTGTCTGAAAAATGTCTCAAATTTCATACGAAAGCACTACGTGCCCCGTCAAAGCAACGAGGCACCGTAAGACACTTCTGTCTCGGACAGAGTGCAACATGTTTAAAGGAACATTGATTGCTTTGAACTTGTTCGAGAAAAGAACTTCTTCGAAAGTCCTCAAAGCATCCCGACTGTGACCTTCGGTTGTATCTTCTTGATCACTCGATCTAGTTTGAAATACGACGATAACTTTAGTGTCTCAAATCACCTGCTATAAGTTACATGGTATTTTTATTTGCTCAATAATTCCTGTGCAGCTTCTCTTTTGCTTGTAAGATTGTCCCGAATCGAATTATCATAACTCTAAAGTTTAAGAAATTCATTTCTGTCATGCTGGTCTTCATTTCTCACGTTTGGAAAATGAATCATGTAAAGAAATAACTCGAAACTTTCTCATTTTCCGACGAAACCATCGGAAATGGTCATCGTGTTGTGTTTATTGTATATCCTATTTTCTAAATAAGTTTAGATTTAATTATTTTACTGTTATGCTCTTCATACCTATTAATAAATTTGTTTCATATGACCAAAACTCTAAGAGTGTTGCATTTGAAAAATGTTAGGTAAAATTCGACAGAAGTTGCTTCGGGCTGGAAATTTCTGAAGAAATCAATTTCTCAATTTCATTTATATTTTTCGATCTCCTTCTATGATTCCGGTCACTACTTGATTTGAAACCTGTTTTCTGATCGATTGATCGATATACAACTTTCCTTCTCTACTCCTTGTCGCAATTTTTTTCATAAAGCTATTCCTACATCGAATTTCGCTATATTTAAGTAAAACTTTACTCTGTCTAAGATAAGAAATTGAATATCTCGGCGTGCACAAGATTTTCTCAATATTTTTGATAGTAAGAAACATAAAAACATTAAAAAACTGCTTTGCTTATATTTATTGGACACTTAGATATTTCATTTTGATGAGAAGTTTAAGGGCTAGTCATTTGTGCCATTCAATTCATATTTCTAAAATTCCGGAAAATGCAAGCTAAAGTGCTAGAGTTAAATATCAATATTTTCTTGGCAAAGGTATATACCCTTCAATAATGTTGCATAGAAAATATTTGAGTAAAAGACGTGACTTTCACTGATCAATAAGAATGCTCGATTCAAAAGGCACTTTAAATTTCTAATATTAATGAGAAGAAAGAATCAAAGATCTGAGCATCGAAAATATAGAATTTTTTCAAGAGATCATTTGTTCCAAATTGAACTTCGACCTCCCATCACCACCTCGTTCATGACAACATTGCTTTTTTCTCTTTATTTCTTTTTGGACGTCACTTTGAGGGATCTTATGACGCAAAAGTCGTTTGAACGTCGGATTTTTGGAAATCAATTCACAATGACGTAGGTAAAGCCTTCAGGATCAACTGTGTAACTGTCAGCTGCGTACCATAAAAACTTGACGCGCACGGGGCGTTTGCAGAAATTTGTTTTATGATAGCCGAATGCATTGCCAGAAATTTCTACATGATTGCAAGGTTAATTTTAGATTGAAGTTTATCAAAATTTTATATTTATGAATTGTCTAGCCAGATGTCATTGAGCTTCTCCAACTTTTTAAAGATATTTTGAGCGCTCTTGTGATTCACAGATTCGTTTTGATGGGATTTTTGCAACGAGAAAGAAAGCATTCCAAAATTTGTAAGAACAAACTCACCAATTTGCACTATGTGTTTTTGATAATTTGTAATAAAAAATGTATTTTATTAGGCATGTTAGCGGTCTTAATACATGACAGATGAATAAGAATATCTGGAAATAACAAGTGCTTTAAAACATTTTTTCAGCACGAATCTTTTCTAAGTGAAAAGTATAATAGATCCAAATGTAAAACTAAATTTGAATCGCAGTAGAGGTTTTAGAATTTTGAAAAATCTAGAAATACATTAACCTAATACATATGAAAGTTTTCTTTCTAGTTCCAAAAATAACTATGACGTCATTCAAAAGGTATCAATTCTGCTTACTGCCATAATAGAGTTATGAAAGAGCTCACAACTAGTCTCAAATCTTTTGTTAAACATGAGAAATGCTTGGCTCAGGTGAACAATGAGGCAATGGAAGTGGACAAAAACATGAAAATTGCTCCCCACACCTAGAACATCGAGAAATTGCTTCGAATGCGACATTGCCAAGTGACCACTTTGTCGATTGTTTTCTTTATTTCATATTCATTTTGTATAATTTGTGCATTTAGGAACCTCCCTACTTGCTCTACAATTCTCCAAAAGAAATTAGCGAAATTAAATCAAAGAAATCATATCTCAGAAGTTCGACAAAAAATGCATCTCATTTTCCTTCAAAAAAAAAAAATGGCCAAGTAACTGCTATGTTTCACCTGCCGCACTACATATCGTATATTATTCCGTTAGTAGAGTTTCATAATTTATGCTTAGAAAACTTATTTTCCCAAAAATATAGTTTTTCGAGAAGGCCCGCGAGTTGATCAATTAAATTCTTGTTACGACCTCCTCTTTGTTTGCAGCTAACTTTTTTGACACAGTCTAGTTCCGAAGCTGACGTTAAGGAAAAATTTCCAGCTCAAAGCCCATCTCTGACATCTTTGCAATAGCACAAGAAGAAAATGATTATTGTTAGAATATTCAAGAGAGAAAATGATTGTTAGAATATTCAAGAGAAAGTCAGAATCGTGTAAAAAAGACGACAGCCAGCATATTCTAGTCCATTTATCATTTTTACACGTTTCTGTATTCCTATCTATCGGTCTTAATACGGCAAGAGGACACCGAAACTAAAATTCCAAGTGGCAAGTTAAGGATTTGCTGTGTATGAACAATGCTCAAACCATTAAATACACGATAAAAAAAAGAATCTCGTCTTCTCATTCATTTTGCCAATCATTCATCCTTCAAGTTTTCGGTTACTCCCTTTCTTTTATCAACCACACCATTCATTGCGTTTGTCATTCTGCAACCATTGATTTAGAAATTATCATCACTCGTCATTCTGAAGCGCAAAGTGCTAACTGCGAATTAGTTTTCACTTCCGCTGATAATAGGGTAAAAAGTGTTTCCAGGAAGCAACTCGAGGCAAGGACACTCAACCAAAATCATCGTACGACTGATTAATTTCGAAAAAACTGCTATGTGTTCTAGTTAGTGGCGGGACTGATATGCAGTGTGCGTTGATACTGAGCGCATTGATACTGCAAGTGAGTTGATTCATTGACAAACACTCCAAAAAGGTCGTAGGCGCTTTCTATTATGTTTTTTTTTGAAGTCATGGACTCTGGACCTAATCTACCTTCATGATGGATCTCCACTATTTGGCGAAGAAGTCGTCTCTCCTCATGGAAAACAATTAACGCAATTTCTTGGCATACCGTTCGCCGAACCACCAATCGGAAATTTACGGTGAGTCCATACTCAAAGATACGCTTGTCGAAAGAGTTCTCATTATCATGCACATATTGCAGGTTTCGAAAACCCAAACCCAAGTCACCATGGCGAACGCCGTTGAACGCAACAATCTTACCCAACTCGTGCATTCAGGTAGGTTATTTCTGGAGTGATTTCGCTAAATGTGAATTGCATAAAACCAAGAATGAAGAGTGCTCGTTAGGTTGTAAGTGCATGATGCTCTTATCTAGCTATTTTTAGATTTTGCAAGACAAAGTTGATATCAAACTGTTCAATGCGAAGACAATTATATCCGAGACGCTAGTATAATCTTCCACTGAGTTATTGTTACCGGTTTTCTTGCCAGAACAATTATCAATTTTTGTCAGTTTATTTGCAAGAACTAAATGGTAAATGGGTACAAAATTCATAACATCATCACATTATTTATTTATTACTTTACTTATTTCCATTCAAAGAAACGTTATTGTTGTCACTTCTGATTTTGAATTTTCCGTTTCTCACAACAGTGATTTACTGATCCCCACGGGACGGGCCTTTATCTCCACCGTATCCTTTGGGGTTTCTTAAATACGCGGTAGAGCCTCAACTGATCAATACAGCCTGTGTACGCCTACCGTAGCCCAACAGATTACGGTAGTGTAATTAACAGATCGTCTACGGTCAAGTTTAACACAAATCCATCTAATGTGGAGAATTTTTGATCAAGAAGTTAAGTTAGATCAAAAACGAATTTCCTCTGCGACTACATAACCTTCTTAAGCTTTTTTCTTCGCTTTGAAAGACAAAGCTATATTATATACTTTAGCTGAAGGTATTTTAGAGTAACGACACCTATTTCGGTGAGTTTTATGGGTCAACGATGTGGAATGCAAACACACCTACTTCCGAGGATTGTCTTTACTTGAATATTTATATCCCTGGAAAGGTTGGTCTTATAAGTTCGTCTACAAGGCTTCGCAACCATACCCTTTCCAGGTAGATGCATCCAAGAGACTAGCTGTAATGGTGTGGGTATACGGTGGTGGATTCTGGTCCGGTACATCGACGTTAGATGTCTATGATGGCAGAATTCTGGCAGTGTGAGCAATTTTGGCCCATATCCTTTTCCTTGCGAAGCTTGAGAAACTCATCTGGGGACAAATAATGCAGAATCACGTCCAGTATATTGCGATTACTGGAAAACAGAAATATTTTCCTATATCAATACTGTCGCTTATCCTAATTCATGTGAAAAAGGCATTATTTTCAGAGAGGAAAATGTCATTCTTGTGTCTATGAATTATCGTGTTTCAATGTTAGGATTTTTGTACTTGGGAAGGCCCGAAGCTCCGGGAAATATGGGCCTTTGGGACCAGCAAGTAGCTCTGAAATGGGTTAGTTCTTGCGCACTTTCTTGATATAGAACACCTTAGAATTCTTCTTTCCAAATAACATTATTTCACAGGTTCATAAAAACATCGATGTCTTTGGAGGCGATCCAGGAAAAATCACCTTATTTGGGGAATCCGCAGGTGCAGCTTCAGTGAACATGCATATGCTAAGCGCACGAAGTACTCCTTATTTCCAGGTATACCTTTTGATCACTATTAGAGTACGGTAGAAGTTTTTTTTTTCAAATTCTCCTTGTCTTAACGGTTAGGACACGGTAGCGAAGGCGCCATTTCAAATTTCGCGCGCATTCCTTTAGCGGTTCCGCCGACCTATATGAGTCCCGACTCGATGTCCTGACGCAGGAATTGTGGCTCATAACCAGTATTTTGTGTGCTCTATCGCTTTTGTTCTCCCATTTGATTATAAGCAATTGCACTTATGCTAGCACAAAGATTGAAAATCTATCAAAGGTTCAAATTGTTTTTCTAGAGAGCAATTCTACAATCTGGAGCAGCTACCGCTCCTTGGGCAATTGAACCAAGGGACGTAGCTCTTGCGCGTACTGTGGTGATCTATAACGCTATGAAATGCGGTAATATGAGTCTTCAAAATCCTGATTATGACAAGATTCTTTACTGTCTGCAGAGAGCAGATGCAGATCTTCTAAGGTGAGTTTGATTCTTATAGATTTTGCTACTCATGTGGATCGTTTTTCAGGGAAAATGAATGGGCTCCTGTTCGGGAATTTGCCGATTTCCCTTGGGTTCCAGTGGTGGACGGAGATTTTCTTGTTGAAAGTGCTCAGACTTCACTGAGACAAGGTAAATCACATAAATTACAGGCGATTGAACAAGTAATTTAGTGAAACTGCAGTTACGACAACATTTGCGCGAAAACGAATGCTTTGCTTGTGAATGCCGACAACTTCCTTACGACTTGCGCGTAAGAATTTGCAATGGAGCGCGGATGAGCGCGCATACGCGCAAATGTTGTGGCCTTCGCAGGAACACTATAAGCCATTAAATCTATTAGGCCATATATGGTTTGGTGGAGAAGGAAAATCTCGCACAAATATTTTTTATAACTCCATCCGTTTAATGATGTAATTTCAGGCAATTTCAAGCATACTCAATTGTTAGCTGGGAGCAACATGGACGAAAGCATCTATTTTATTGTATATCAACTTCCTGTAGGTTCTTATTTGCTAACTAGGACGAAATTTCTGGAAATATTCCAACACCAATTTTTTCATCAAGATATAAATTACAGAACATCTTCCCAGTGCAAGATTTCTTCACTAAGAATGATTTCGTACCTGATAGGCATACATGGTTGAAAGCAATATCTGATCTTTTACCACGGCAAATGATCAAGAGCCAACTTGCATTGGCAGCAATTTTGCATGAATACGAACCAGCAAATTTGCCAGGTAAGCTCTTCTTCCAAATTATGACATAAAGTTAGAATGAGGGGTTGTATAAAATTTTAGCAATATTTTGAGCTTTATAGCGCAGATATGAGGGCTTTTGGAGATGTTCCGCGTGATTTGGCAACTTGTCACTTGGCTATAGACTCATTGCGCTCGGATTTTGAATTGCGGTTTAGTGCAGACGGGCGCATTACTCAAAATTCGCTTGCAAAACTGGCATTATCACTTAACTTGAAGATTTTTGTTTAGTAAAAGCTCATGATTGGCTCGATTCTATGGAGAAAATGCTCGGAGACTATCACTTCACTTGTAATGTAAATGAAATGGCCCTTGCTCACACCAAACATGGTGGTGATACTTATTACTACTACTTCACGCATAGGTTTGGCTGTTCTCAGGACCCCTGGCGTACAGTAATCTTCTTGATTCAGGGCATCAGCGCAGACATGGCCTCGATGGATGGGCACTGTGCATGGTTATGAAATTAATTTTGTTTTTGGTGAGCCGTATAACAAGAGATTCAATTATACTACAGAAGAGCAGGAATTGAGTAGTAGATTCATGAGATATTGGGCCAATTTCGCTCGAACTGGGTAAGTAGCGTAGTTTTTCATGTTGACCTATTTATATACTTTACATACGTTTTCTTTTACAGAGATCCCAATAAAAATGAGGATGGTACCTATACGCCAGACGTTTGGCCGAAATACAATGCGCAGTCTATGGAGTACATGAATTTGACGGTGGAATCTGCATATCCGAGTAGTAGAAGAACTGGTCATGGACCGCGACGGAAAAATTGCGCATTCTGGAAAGCTTACTTGCCAAATCTCATGGCAGCAGTGGGTCAGTTTTTTGCGCATGTTCAAAATTGTCATAGTCTGTCGCTGGACGAAGGCGGTTGTCCAGACGGACAGCGTGCGCGAACGCCGCAAGAGCGGCTATCGTACATTGCTACTAGGTTTTATATACTGTAGAGTCACCTTGCGCTAACGAGCAAACATCCTTTTTTTGGCAATGGACCTGTGCACTGTCTGTTTTAAAACCAACACGTAGGCCGAGACTGGACTGTCGCGCGTCCGCCTCGCAAAGCAATCATATCGCGACAGGACCATGTCTGCGTCTTCTCCCCTCCGACTTGCAAATTACCATGCTGCGCGCAATACGCACAAATCTCTCGCGAAGCCGGCTCCGCACTTTTTTGTTCGATTGGAACAGACTGTTAACTTGAATATCAATGTTTTTCAAACATGTTCTCGCCAACTCTAACAATTCCAGTTCTTCTCATATTCTTTTTTTTTCAGCTGAAGTTGGAGATCCTTTCTTACTCTGGAAACAACAAATGGATAAATGGCAAAATGAATATATTACTGATTGGCAGTACCACTTCGAACAATATAAGAAATACCAAACTTATCGTCACCTGGATGATTCATGTAATTCAATCTAAAATTAAGGTACAAACCAAGAAAGTTCGGGAGCTTTATTTTTACAAATTTCACTATTATTTCTCATTTATGTTCTGATTCTCTTTTATATGCAAATCTGTATCTCCTTCTTCATGTATGATGTATACATTAGGATAATATCTAGGGCTTTAATATAGTATGGTAGCGATGCGACAATTGCAGAGAATGTGCAGATGCACACACTGTGTACGTTCTACGTTTAATACTGGGTTTTGGCATTTTGCAGACGTCTTTAAGAAGAACTATTATAGGTTTTCCTTCAAACTCAAAAGCAAAATCAAGGGTTGTAAAAATGCTACTCGAAAGGTATGTTTTGAGGGTTAACAAAAATCCTAGATTTTACGCGCAACGCATGTTTTGTGCAATCGCGTACATCAAACTCATAAACTATTGACTATAGCCTCTGTCGCATCGCTGCTCCATCACTGCGTGCATTTTCACGCTAAGTTTTCTTTTTTCTCTTTAGAGGATGACCAATTGACCAGATCCTCCCTTCTCAGTACATTTCCATTTTAGCGTCATTGATCATGATTAGCACTTGATTAGAGTTGAACTGATACATTCCACACGGGCGATATCCTGCCTTACTTTCAATAACAGCAATAAATTAGTAGGGCCCTGTCTCAAATAATTAAGGTACAGGTTGAATAGCTGCAGCCATTTTCAGTGCAATATAATATGTTCGTTATGTGTAGAAATTTAGAAGAAAAGTTGTTTACCTCGGTAGCTCCAATTATGCTCATTACTCCACTCGCGTCGTCATTTATGTATTGTGTTTGTATATAAACGTTTTGCTTTGTACGTATAATTGTTATCAAAGACATGGTACCGGCAAAAGCTACCTTCTGTGGAAGAGGACCTGTATACTACACTTTCATGTTATATTTTGTGCACCCGGCCATCAAATTGTTGAGTTACAGGAGAGAAGAGAGTTAGTGGCAAGTAAATCTGGAATTTTATTGAAACAAGGAAATATCAATTAGTTGTTCGGAATTTAAAAATGCGATACATAGCTCAGAAACATTCAGAAAAACAAGACTTTGTCAGTTCACTTACTGGTTGCTGATTGCGGGTTACTGTAGCTAGGTGGGAACCAATGACCGGTTAGCCGCTTTGGTGCATCATGATTGGTCCTTTCACTGGTTTGACCAGTCATAAAGCGGCAAGCAACTAAGCGCATAAGTCTGGCGCCTGCCTGTGGAAGGTCAAAAAACAGTCAGTTTTCAGGAAGTCAAAATAAGCTTCTGCCACGATTTGACACTAAGACCTTGTGGGCAATATGTAACCTCAAAATCACCCTTGAGCAAAATTTACATAACAAGTCGATGACTTTTGTTGAGATTAGAAATTCTTTTGCTGAAATAAATTTACTTATGCGTTCACGTATGAAGGCAAATTTTAACCTTTTCGCTTTTCATACACGTATAAACAGAACGAAAGCGCTTCTAGCGAATCCATCACTCATTTTTCTCAGTGCACTTAATTGAAACTTGTAAAAATATTATGTGATTGAGAAGGTACGGTAAGCTTTCAGGAAATCTGGTAAAATGACTCGTTTGCAGACCAAATGCAGTACTATGGCTTCAAAATTGTTGCGTATACTCACCCTGGTGAAGTGAACTAGAGCAAAGTGTATGAGAAATTTATGTGGATAAAAAGTGTGCCTTATTTCAATAGTGAGGGCAATTGCCATCCTGATGCCACAGTGAGGTTGGCAAAACTGCTTTAGGTTTCTCGCAAATCTTACATAACACTCTTCAACCCCTCCTGCTTACTATATAGTACATACATACTTGGCTTCAAAATTTTTTTGCGTCCTCTACAGGTCACATTTCAGCTCTAAGTTCTTCTAGGCTCATTTTGAACAGTATTACAGCCCACTGAGAAAAAGCTATCATGTTTAGGACTCTAGTACAAAAGTATCTCATTTTACACAAATAACATAGATTCTTTGTGACCATGAATCCAAATTTGTGAAAAATTTCGCCGATTTACAAGCGCTGATTTCAGCAAATAACTATCACAGGTTTATAGTGCGGTAAGGACGATGTAGTCAGGATTGAGAAACTTCGGAATTCTGTTAGTTTCTTACGTAAGTCTTGTTACACTTTAATTTCTTACGACGATAAGTCATGAACTTCATAATTTCAAAAGGGCCCCAGCATTGAACATCCGAGTGAGAGAAGCTAAATTCGGAATTTTTAGAAAACTAGGGCTTATGGCTGGAAATTTACGGCTATACTCCTAAGGGTTTGTAGTGTAAAACTACATGAATAGAAACAGCATAGCTTCGTTTTCGTACAAACAAGAAAAAATTTGTTTTCTTGATTTCTAGATGAGGTAAAGATACAGCAACGGTACATATGAGTCTGATGTGGTGCGCAATCTGTATGAGCAAGCTGGAAATCCGTAGGTTTTTTTTTTGAACAAGAATATGAATTTCCCCAATCTTTTGAGCCTTTAGGACAACTCAGATCCCGGATGCAAACTTACGGTGGTCGAAGCTGGTGCGAACTTTTGCATACCATCTTGTAGAGCTTGCTTTACTTTATCGAACGGTCCCCTGAGGACCTACATATTGAAGTTATGAAATTTACGACTTATCGTCGTAAGAAATTAAAGTGTAACAAGACTTATGCAACAACCTAATACTTTTAGGTATGACTTGCATAAATTTTGAACAAAGGTCTACGGTAATGCTACACTGACAATCAGCGACCACAATCTGCTCAGTAGCAAATCTGACTTTTTGGAGGTCTTTCTTGAAGATTTATTTGACAATGATACAAAGTCTTTTTTAATACCCCTGCCAGTAATGCGGAACGACTGGTGATTTTCCCTAATGTAAGTCTAGGCTGATGCTAGCGAGTAAAGTGCTAAGAGGTCAGCGAAAGACATCATGACAAAAGAGATGTTAGTGGTTAAAAAAAGGCAATTTTTTTGACTGACACCATTTATATGAGATTATCCGGATGCTGCATAGGAGTAGAGGTATCGTCTTTTTTAAAGAGAATCACGTGGGTCCTTTCTGAAGGCAGTGGCTGGGCAAAATTACAGTTGCGAGCTGTCCATCCTTTCTTGGCCTTCTGGATGCGCTGAGTCCAGGGCTATGCTTGATAAGTCGAAAAAGTGCTTTTTATTTTTATGGCGTTATCCGGCCTTGGAGATTGCTGGAGGCGTAGGACGAGCGATTGCCGCCAAATCAGTCGCGATTGGCTGCCTGGAAATTAGCCAACTGCCGCCAAAATGGGTGAAGTTAGAGTCTCCTGCAGCCTATCGCGTTTTTGACGGGAATCGCTCTTCCAGCCCCCTCAGCTATCTCTAAGGCCGAAAACCAAAAAAGCATTTTTTTGACTTTCAATCGCAATCAGGATCAGCGGATCCAGAAGGCCATGTAAGTATGAAAAGCTCGTGGTCGCAAATTTCCCGGCTCACTGCCTTCAAGAGAAAGCGGTACACTGAATGTTATGCTCCGCATCTCCAAATAACAGTTCACTGCTTTGCCAGTGGTTTTCATAAACTTTTACTCATTAGGAATGTTGCGCTTTTGAATTCTCTTTAAGCGTTGCGACCATATATGGTGTTCGGGGAACACCATTTTTCAGAATAAGAACTAGATAATCTGTTTGAAATCCCTCTTAGGAGATCTGCTCTTGGGGGAGAACCCTGAGAGGATTCAAACAGTAAAACAAGTTGAACGTGCCTCCATCTGGTTAAGCAGCTTTTTGATATCTCTCAACCGTGAGTGAAAAAATGCTTAAATCGTAGATACTTATGAGAATGGTCAGAAATCGAAGTGGCCAAACCAAAGAAGCTGTATATCATTCGATGCAGTATAAAACGCTGACTTCGAATCTGTCTTCAATATCTGCTTATCACTCCTTTGGACGAAGCTACAAGCTTTTACTGTGAAAAAATCATACATAAAAACAGCGAAATTGAGCACATTGTTGCACTTTTAGCTCAGCTTCCAGCTTTGAAAATTTGAAGTAAGCTAGATGCATGTTTTGGCCCAGCGTTAAGGTGAACGCGGCTCTGTACGGCTAAATTTTCATATTCACGCATAATTTCTTAGCCAAATAATGGCCTTTAATGGCTTACAGCTTCGTCCAGAAAAGCGATAAGCAGGTAAGGAAGACAGATTTAGAGTCACCGCTTCATGCTGCATCTAATGGTTTGCAGCTTCTCTGGATTGGCCACTTCGATTTCTGACCATTCCCATGTTAGATATTGTTTCAGTACCTGTAGCTCTTATATTGACCTACTAGGACCTTGTCTATGCCAAACTTCTCTGAGCCATATTTTAGGCTACGAATATATCTCTTTTCAGGTTTCTTGGAATAAAATGGATGAATCCTGGATATAAGAATACGTATAAGAGTTGTGAAGATCTCAGATTATTGCGTGTATGGGAGAGGAGAGACCCGACGGGTGGAATTTGCGTTCACCGAGATTCAAAATTTGTCCATTAATAAAGTACAGCGTTACTAAGTTGCTTGCAAGCCTCTTTTGTATTGCATTAGAAGGTTTATATAATCCTTGGGACAAAGATCCGAATCCATAGTAGACGTTTATTCTAACATTTTCAAATTAAGCAATCGAGAACGAAGCCTCAAGAAATGGCAAATTACGCTACAAATTTCGCATTTTAGGTGCTGGAAAATCTCAGTAGACCGCTAACTAGCCAATAAAATCTGTGAAAATTTTCTTACAAAGCAAAAATCCTCGTGTTACTTTAGCACGCTTTAATCTCGTATGGAAATGAAGAAACAAAAAATTTGTGAGATTTGTCATTAGGATAAATTGCCTTTGCAGTTTTTTACATAAATACTGTTGGGAATCAGAAATTAGAAAAAGCACCTAGTTAGAACATCGTGGTTTTTTTGGAACTCCAAAAGGTGCTTCCGCTAAAAAAGTGCAGTAATGAGGGGATTTCTTCTGTAAAACTACAACTTCCACAAATTTTTTATTTCTGCGCTACCGTACCTTTTGTTGTGTAAGTAGCAAACCTTCTAACTATTTTTAGGATGTCGAACTATGGATTTATTTTCAACATTTGATACGTTATTGAACGTTTGAATTAAATTTCGCGCTAACATAATATTATGTGCAGTTGCTTCCGTAAAACTAACGCCGTCGATTAAGTAGCAAAGTCTGGCGCATGAATTGCCTAGACTTTTTGCGAAAAAACCTAGCTCTATTGTTAACTACTTGCTCATCTTCGGACCTTCAATTCATGGTAGCGACTCTGTTTACTTAAGGCCTAAGGCATATCTCCCGCGATTTCGCGAAATCGCCACATCCTCGCGATTTGGCGATTTGCCAGATGTCTAGAGATTGAGCGTGCGAGGCTCTCAGATGCATGGGTGCGTAGATTCCGTAAATTGTAACAAACACAGCAAGTCTGGCCCAAGCAAAGTGCGTTTACGACCAGCTTTGGAGAAAAGTTGCAGTGCCGAATCGCGCGGCGACTAAAATCGCGTGAGGTATGCCTTAGGCCTAACAGAAAGCTGGTCATTTTGGAACTTTCTGAGAGGATGAAATTGTATACTCTCATGTTTTTGAGCAGAGTTTGTCAGACAAGGTTGGGTGCGCTTTTTTTATTGCGAACGAACATTTGGTGATGTAAAGCTTGCTGTGTAAACCATAGTGCAACATATTTTTGCCTCCGGATCATACAATATTGAGGAATGTAAAACAACAGAAGATCAGGCATTCATCATTTATTCACTCTTTATTAATTTTTTCTTATTAAATAAAACAACGAAGCAGCATGTCTGTTGAACTCAAATAACGCCAAGGCAGTAGAAGTAAGGCAGGCTCATCACAATGCGAATATTCATATAATATAGTCACATCGAAAACTAACAAAACAACTTATGGGATTTAAGGAAATATGAGAGTTTTTGAGTTCAGAATGAGAACAGTAAATTGGTAGTGTACGCTATGGCAGTACTTCCTGGGGGCAGGCAGGTCACTCATGCATCCTGTTCGATGCAATCGGGGCCAAAATGAAAGCAGTATGAAATGTGATAATAGTAAGGAAAGTTTTAGCTGCGTCCCTCCGTCGACTTGATACACACTTGACACCGTGAGACACGAGTGCGCAGACTTCCAGATTTTAGCGTCTGGCTTTCGGGGATCTGTAAATTGATTTTTGAATTTTTCAGTAAATCAAATCAATCAATATAACGAAGATTCCGTGAAAAGTAGTGTTGTGCGGAAAAGGATAATTCGAATTTCGCGCCCAAAAGGGGCCTTGGCCAGTTAGCAGGCGCCGCGATGGGCGGAGCCCAAGCTGCTTGCGCGCACATGATTGGCCCTTCGCGCCACCGCTACGAAAAGGAAGTGATTACGGTAGTTTCTCACCTTGAACTCCTGGTCGTTGTCAATGGTGGTGAGCCAGAAGGAGAACTTGTTAGCGAAGTAATGGCATGTGCCTCGCGCTCCGTTGCATTCAATGAACGGTGTCGCTCGGAAATCTTCCAAACAAGAGCCCGGTGAACTAAAAATTTATTTTATACCGTAAAACAGGCAAAAGGTAAACAAATCTTACCTGAGGGATTGTCCACCTCCTTCGGCTCCTGCTCCCGTATGCATTGCGAATGAATAACCAATCCACAAGCTATTCCAACCTGCAGGGCAGTTCGGAATTTGTATCGTTTGTGAGTGAACAGCAATAACGTTCGCTGGTGCTTCACAGACCGCACATCTTTAAGACAATTATTTGAAATAAACATTCGTTAAAGCAAAATAAAAATTTACCGTGAAATGTATTGTTCAATCTCTCCTTCGCTGACAGGCATCATCGGAATTGGAGCTGTTGTGGAGAGCCAGTATGACTTGTCATTACGTGATGCATAGTTACAAACGTTGTTGAAGTCACAGAACAAGAATGGCATGGTTGAGAATCGTTGTAAGCAAGATCCGGCGTGTCCAAGATCTTGATTGTGCGACTTCTCGTTTCCTTCGATATACAACAGGGAGTAGCCATCCCACAGCTTGGTTTGACCGGCAGGGCATTGAGGAATTTCCGTAGTTTGAGAATGCTTCACCAACAAGAATCCATCCCTGTAGGCTTGTCCGGGTGGTCCTGGTGGGCCAGGGTATCCAGGCATTCCAGGGGTACCAGGCGCTCCATCAAGACCAGGAAGGCCAGGAAGACCAGGAGCACCCTTCTCTCCAGGAAGACCGGGTTGTCCAGGGAAACCATCACTTCCACGTGAACCAGGTGTACCAGGAGGCCCATCAAGACCTGGGGGTCCATCAAGTCCAGGAATTCCTTTCTCACCACGTATTCCTGGTACACCAGGTAGTCCAGGCTCTCCCTTCAGACCGGGAACGACAACCGCTGCTGCTCCAGGTAATCCAGGAGGTCCTTGAGGTCCGTCCAATCCAGGCTTTCCTTCTCGTCCTGGTTGTCCAGGGTATCCAGCATCTCCCTTCATTCCAGGCAAACCAGGGGATCCAGGAAGACCAGGAAGTCCGGCTTCTCCCTTTTGTCCAGGGAAGCCAGGAAGGCCAGCATCGCCTGAAAAATAAGTTCTTCGTTATGCAAGCGTTTTAGAAAATCCAGGAGTACCTTTCATTCCAGGAAGTCCAGGCATTCCTGGAGCTCCTGCTGGTCCAGGTGCACCCATCTCTCCTTTCAAGCCGGGCAGGCCAGGAAGACCATCTTTTCCAGGTGCTCCAGGATACCCATCCATTCCACGTTTGCCAGGAATTCCCGGCTTTCCAGGTTCTCCCTTTTGTCCAGGGAATCCAGGAAGTCCAGGCTCTCCCTTCAGACCAGGTGCTCCAGGGTATCCAGCTTGGCCAGCCTCGCCCTTGAGTCCAGGTAGTCCAGGAAGACCATCTTTTCCAGGAAGTCCAGGTGCACCAGGTGGTCCCACTGGTCCAGGGATTGATTGACCTACAATACTGATCGTAGGAGAGATTGGATGTTTTGCGTATCATGTGACTTCACATTCACTTTGACAAAATATATCATATTTCATCGTTGTTCACCTAGAGGAGCTAAATCTATTGTATCTAATGATAAAAAGTTTTGTAATGATTGAACTGATCTGTAATAGCCAAACAAAGTCGATAGTTCACAAAATCAGAGCATATTCTGTCAACTTGATTTTATTCTTGACTTCGTTTTGCAACCTCTTAGTTAACGTGATAGATTGATTTAATCGATGGCAATGAAAAGTTATGTTTTAGCTATCTTAAACTTTTTGAAAGCCACGGTTCATTTTAGAAACTTCTATATGGCTATTTTGTGTTTTGTGCTGTCTCCAGCGAACAAAAGTCGTTAATTTCGTAGTTAATATCGGTGCAAATCACAACAGCTAAGGCAAGTGCTTGAATATGAGGACTAAACAACGCCGTATCTCTAGTAGGGAGTTCATATTCTGTGAGGGACAAACGGTGATCGATATGTGCGCCAGAGAGAGATGATTCTACATGATGTCATTGTAAACTGTCGAAAGAAAAAGAATTTGAAATGGCTGAAAACTCCCAATGCTATATTTCTATGATTGTGCTCTATCGTAATAGTTACAGTGAATTTATACGAAAATTCTCTTCAAATAGCACTAAATCTGGACAAGAGGAACACATGACTGGAAGAAAATTTCACTTTTGTGCACTCGTTCAACGATCTAAACGAACTAACCAGGTGGTCCTGGCAAGCCAGGCAAACCAGCGGCTCCTTTTTCACCAGGAAGTCCAGGCGCTCCATCACGACCCGGTTGTCCAGCGTATCCGACATCTCCCTTCATTCCAGGCAAACCAGGAAGTCCCTCCTGTCCAGGTAGGCCAGCACTTCCTTTGAGTCCAGGGAAACCGGGTGCTCCAGCAGCTCCCTTAGCACCCGGCGCGCCAGGTACACCAGGTTGTCCAGGATATCCCGCATCTCCCTTCATGCCAGGCATTCCATCGAGACCGCGATCTCCTGGTAGGCCAGGTAAGCCAGCATTTCCTTTCTCTCCTCTGATTCCAGGTACACCTGGGGCGCCCTGAAGCCCAGGAGCGCCAGGTTGTCCAGGAGCACCAGGTGCTCCAGTCTCGCCCTTCATGCCTGGTAAGCCCGGTAGTCCATCTTTGCCTGCAGCACCACTCTGTCCAGGGTAGCCCTGGAATTTGATACATCGAAGGGATCATTATTGATGACTTGGTTAGTATGAAAAATTGCTTACCGGTTCACCTTTAAGACCAGGGAAGCCAGGCAGACCGTCTTGTCCTGGAGGTCCAGGAGGTCCAGGTCGTCCTGCTTTTCCAGGTACGCCAGGTAGACCTTTTTCGCCAGCAATACCCGGTTGTCCATATCCAGGCAATCCAGACTCTCCCTTAGCACCTGGGATTCCAGGTAAGCCAGGGGGACCCTGAGGACCGCGAAGACCAGGCTGTCCAGGCAGTCCTTGCTCTCCCTTAGCTCCGTCAGCAGCAGATGGTCCAGGTTCTCCTTTTTCTCCAGGTATTCCGGCGAATCCTCGATCTCCTTTCATGCCAGGAAGTCCAGGGTATCCGTCTTTTCCAGGTGGTCCAGGTAGACCAGCACTTCCTTTCATTCCAGGTAGTCCAGGCATTCCAGGAAGACCAGCATTACCCTTCATTCCTTGTTGACCTGGTAATCCAGGCAGTCCAGCGTCACCTTAACGTGATTAATGGTAGAGTGTTCCTGGACAAAATAGAGTAGCCTACCTTTGCTTCCGGGCACTCCAGGAATACCGTTCATACCCTTCTGACCTGGGTAACCAGGAGGACCTTGCATACCAGGTTGTCCAGGAGCTCCAGGAAGTCCAGCATCTCCTTTCTGGCCTTCCACTCCAGGTAGACCAGGTAGACCAGCCTCTCCCTTCATTCCAGCAAGACCAGGCATACCGTCAGCTCCAGGTGCTCCAGGTGCACCTTCCTTTCCTAAATTGAAGGTTTTATTAAGCATAGAAAATAGGTTTTGCTTTTTTTAATAGTAGAAAATGTACTATAAAAAAACCAACCTGGGAGTCCAGGAAGTCCAGGTTCTCCTTTCGCGCCAGGGTATCCAGGCTGTCCAGGTTGTCCTGGGAATCCGGCTTCTCCCTTGAGACCAGGAGCACCAGGCGCTCCGCGCTGACCTTCGAGACCAGGAAGACCAGGTTGTCCGGCCATTCCAGGTTCTCCTTTGAGTCCAGGGAAACCAGGAGGTCCAGGTGGTCCGGTCATTGATGCTCCCTGTTCTCCTTTCATTCCAGGTAAACCGGGAAGACCTGGTTGGCCAGGTTCTCCTTTGGGACCAGGAATTCCAGGAAGGCCGTTAAGACCTGAAAAAAGTGGTGAGTTGCCATGCAGATGTGACATTATAATGAATCGGACTAACCGGGGAGTCCCTTTTCTCCTGGTATTCCAGGAATTCCAGGTTGACCTGGTGGACCAGGTAATCCGCTCTCTCCCTTGCGTCCGCTCACTCCAGGAAGTCCAGGTGGACCCACATCGCCGGGTCTTCCAGGGAAGCCGGCTTCACCCTTAGGTCCAGGTAGTCCAGGTGCTCCAGGTCTGCCAGGGGCTCCTGCTTTCACGACGCTAGCGGGGGCAACAGGTCCCGGTGGACCTTGCAAGCCAGGAAGACCAGGTACTCCAGCTGGACCGGTGTCTCCTTTCTGTCCTGGAAGACCAGGTAGACCGGGTTGGCCGTATCCTGGTTCGCCCTTTAGACCTGGTAGTCCTGGCAATCCATCCTTTCCTGGTTTGCCAGGTAGACCGGGGAGGCCTGGTTCACCCTTAAATAATATTCTTTGAATAAAAATAAGAAAATTTAAGGAAGAGAAATTCTACCTTTTCTCCCGGCATTCCAGGCAGACCAGGTGATCCAAGAAGTCCTGGAGTTCCAGGCAGTCCATCCTTGCCTGGCTGACCAGGATATCCTGCTTCTCCTTTCATTCCCGGGTAACCGGGTGGTCCAGGTCTAAGCACAAGTTGTGTCGGTTCTCCCTTTTGTCCAGGAAGTCCCGGAAGACCATCAAGACCTGGAGGGCCAGGTGCACCAGGACGCCCAGGTGGACCTGGAAGCCCGTCATCTCCAGGATCACCAGTCGGTCCAGGCATGCCAGGCAAGCCGCGGTCTCCTTGTGGGCCAGGTTGCCCAGGATACCCAGGGTTTCCTTTCTCTCCTTTGGTTCCAGGCGAGCAGATTGAACAGGTTCCTCCTCTATCTCCCTTCTGTCCGGGAGCACCAGGTAGACCAGGAACACCATCTCGTCCATCGTAACCTTTTGGACCTGGTGGGCCACGAGGTCCAGGTGGGCCAGGCAAACCGTTCAAGGAATCTCCAGGAGGACCTGAACAGAGTCACCTACAGCTTGAGAAAGAGTAAAAGCACGCGTTCTTTACCTCGTACACCAGGCAATCCTTGCTCTCCTTTTCTTCCAGGTGCTCCATCAAGTCCAGGACGTCCGTCTTTTCCAGGTAGGCCAGGGAAACTTTGGCCGGGGATACCTCGTGCTCCAGGTTCTCCTTTGGGTCCAGGAGCTCCAATCATTCCGGGAGGACCAGTAACACCAGGGGCGCCAGGTATTCCACTCTCTCCCTTTTCACCTTTTGGACCGGGGAGACCTTCGAGTCCGGGGAGACCGGGAGCTCCAGGACCACCAGTTTGACCAGGTGGGCCAGCTGGTCCGGGAGGACCTGGATATCCATCAGCTCCCGGTGGGCCAGGATTTCCTGGACGGCCAGGCAGTCCAGGAGGACCTGGAGGTCCATCGGTGTATGATCCACCCTTAAGAGGTTGTTAAGTATCTTGCTAAAATGACCTGAGGGTTGACTTACTCCAGGTGGTCCAGGAGGTCCCATGTTTCCTTTCGGTCCATCTCTTCCTGGGTATCCAGCTTCACCTTTTTGTCCAGGCAAACCAGGGAATCCTGGCACTCCGTCGAGACCACGATCACCTTTAAATCCAGGGGGACCTGGGTTACCGGGTCGTCCTTCCTTGCCCTAAAAATTGCCGGCGATGACAATAAGCTTTTGGACACTTGTGATTGCTATTGACAAACCCTAGGTCCCGCTGGTCCAGAAAGTCCTTTCTCTCCCTTCATTCCAGGAAGACCTGGTTGACCAGGTAGTCCAGCATTTCCAGGATAACCTCGAGGACCAGCCTCGCCCGGTTCTCCCTAAATTTATAAGCATATACCTTCAATCAAACAAAGAACAGGTTCATGCTAACTGAAGCTCGCCACACCAACAAAAGCTTTCAAGCCATACCACAAAATCGAACTAAGGCTATGAAAAGCATTAGCATCCTCATAAAGGATGAGATGTAAGAGAAGGAAAATAGTAAACTATAGACTAGACTATGAGCGAAAAGCAAAAGCGGTGCATGCGAAAAACTGAACCCATAGGGAAGCGAAAAGTTAGCTCAGGTTAGTTTTACGCGGCTCTTGCCTTTTCTCCCTTCTCTCCTACATCTCCCTTGGGACCGACTATCGTTCCCTTCGCCATAGTGGACGCAATAGGACCGGGAGGTCCCCGTGGCCCTTGAGCTCCTACGTCTCCCTAAAAAGTATAAATGTAAGTACCTTTAATCCTTTTTCTCCTGTGTTTCCGCGCGGACCTACAATCGACCCACTTCCCGTAAACTCGCGAGGCCCAGGAGGGCCGGGCGGTCCCTGTTGTCCTATATCACCCTAGAAACAGACCGAGTTGGAGGGGAACGAACGTAAAGTGTACGCCGGCGCCTCGAGCAAGAAATCAACAGTTGTGTGTTCGACACAACCACTTTACTTCTTCACTTCTGAGCTCCAAATTCTCACGATTCAATTTTCACAAGGACATTTGTTCTCCGGTCGTTTGCACATCGAATACAATTGATTTTTCAGAAAATCAAACTCTTACCTTTTCCGAACAAATTCTAGAATATTTGTAGTTATCAACAAGGATTACACAATGTACTTTTCCAAAAAAATTTCTGAGAGGCAAGGACATAATGTTGAACTAACATTCAGATGTAACAAAGCAGTCATCTGTAAAGCAAGAGAGTACGGTATATTGCAGAAAATCGTGGGCTAGAAGACCAGCTTATTTGCTTGGCCGCTTCATGACAGGTCAGCTCAGTGATTTGACCAATCATGAATCAGCTAAAAGGCTAACCGAATAAGTCTGGTGCCTGCCTTATTAGCGTAATAACATGATAGATTGCTATAATAAAGATTTATAAGAAAGACCTAACACAGCAGCAAAGGGGGCTAGAAGGATGTTTACGAATTCAACTTCCGAATTCTCTACAACCTCCGAACGGTAGGACGCGAACATAAAACCCAGATAGTAGAGAACAAATACTTACAGGGTCTCCCTTAGGTCCGATGCTGCCAATACCAGGGTTTCCTGGTACTCCAGGCTCTCCAGGAGGTCCGCGTGGTCCCTAAAAACAATTTTGAAGTGTGAAATTTTTTGAGCAAATCTGCTTAGTGACGTACAACTGGTCCAACGTCTCCTCGATCTCCTTTCTCTCCCGGATAGCCATCTCTGCCGGGTGGCCCAGGTAATCCTGGCATACCTGCCATACCGCTGTCTCCCTTAAGATATTCAATATAATGGTCAGTCAATTTGCAAAAAGATGTTAAAAACCTTTTCTCCTGGCGCACCAGCATAACCAATTGCAGGTTCTCCCTTTGGTCCGTCCATTCCTGGAGCTCCAGGAAATCCGGGCATACCCGGTGGTCCAGGTCGGCCAGGGATACCGGGTGCGCCATCAGTTCCGTTACATCCGTCCCATCCAGGAGCACCAGGTGGACCAGGTTCTCCCGGTCGTCCATTTGCTCCATCATTTCCTGGGAAGCCGGGTACACCGATAGGTCCTCGGTCTCCCTTAGGACCTTGAGGTCCAGGTGGGCCTTGTGCTCCTTTTTGACCTTTTGGTCCGGCTAATCCTTCGGGACCCGGAAAACCGCGGATACCCTGTACACCAGGCGGCCCTTGTGGGCCTGGCGCTCCCTATAAGTAGAACAGATTACATTAGCATCTTGGACAAATGGAACTTTTTAGGCATGGCATGACCGAAGTCAAGAAGTTTCCAAATTTACAAAGGATGCGCTTTTTTCAAAAAATGCAGTCGTGTGTAATGCTGACTGCAGTAATGCAAAAGTACGGGGCAAGAGGGGGGGGGGTGTTGCGAATGAGGCTGATGCACATCGAGAGGTGCAATCTGTTTTCGTGTGCCTCCCTGGACTTTCCGTAGAATGCTGTCGGCCGGCAGGCGCTTGCGATGTAACACAGATCGCTGTATTGATTCATTAAACTCTCAATCTATCTACACACACAGACAGAAGACGAGAGCTTCTCACTCGAGCAGGAGGTTGAGAGTTGAGCGCACCTAAGGCGACGAGGGGGGGGGGGGGGAGCGATGAACGCTCCTCTCACACCAACAAACACTCGCAATACGAACACAACGCGCTTGCCTACAGGAAAATAATACAAATGATGCTGTACACTAACGACCAGTAAACAAGCGGATCGCTGTTTGAAAGGAGATGGATCTAGTATATCGCTCGCTTAAGATCTATGGATGATGGATAATTAGAGTAAGTAAACTGAGAGTACACCTTACCATGGAGCCCTTCTCTCCTACGCAGAAGCATCCTCGATTTGTACAATCCCTGCAGGTGGCTTGCTAAATTAAATTCGCTAAGTGGAGATTGTAGTACACCTTACAACATATTTTCTTTCATTGGTGAAACCACTGCGGAAGGAGGCTAAATAGTTTTATTTAAGAAAAAAGCGAAATTCCAAAATTTATAACAAAGCAATTTTGCAAATTCAGGAACTCCTAATCTCAAAAGATACACAGAAACATTTTGATTCATAAATTAGTTATAATGAGCCGATGGTCTAAAAATAGATTCTTTTTCCTATAAATAGAACGCAAATTGCACAGATAGAGGATGAGCCAACGATCAGGGCGCCGCCGTGGCATAACGTAAAACAAGTAGAACCGAACAAAATGAGAAATCGAGGTAAAAGAAGTTTAGGAAAAATTTTATTTCATAAAGTTACAAGCTTGGTCATTTCACAGTAGGTGTTAAAATAGAAATTTTGAGAGATGACTCAAGAGCAGTAGTCAAGAGTGCAGATGAACTATAGATGAGGACATTATCTGCAAATTGCAAGAAGACAGAAAATGTCGTACTTTATTCAAAATTCTTGATCATTTTCCAAAGTTCATTATGAATAGGACGAAGAACATTTTGCCTAAAGTACAACAACAGAACTCACTGAATATACGTCGATCGCAAGAAACGTGACAGTCGCCAGTAGCAGAAGAGGCCTACAAATCATAAACGAGAATTTATATTTTCAAAGAGAGAAGTATTGGAAAAAGAAAATAATAATGCTGTTTCTAGGTCTATGTAAGGGATTTCCAAGGTTTAAGGACGGTTCCGGACTCCTCAGGTGCAAAGAGGTGGCCGTGGATTCCGTCGCGGCGGAAGTTTCCATGACTAGGTAGCGAATAAGTAGTATCTTACCATAATGGCACTCTCTGCCTCATGGTGTGTAGCCACGGGACGGGTGCCTGCTAGCAGCAGAAGAGAATGCCAGCAGCTTTCTATAGGAGGGCGGAGTGGGACGAGCTCCGCCAGACATCGTACGAAATAGTGCGATAACAGAAGAGGTTTTAAACTCATTCGCAAGGAAGCAGCAAGAGAGCAGATCCTGGCCATAGGCACAGAGATGATGTCGATCAAACCGGCTGGGTGTAAAGCAACAGGTAGCCAACGAAGTCCAGAAGGATCGAACGAGGTCAACTACCGTATGAGCGCGGTTGGCACGTTGTCGAACGCGACCGAGCTCAGCTCATGACACAATGCCCTTTCCGAGAGTACGATACCGCCGTCGTCGAGTGCCGCGACTCGGCAAACACCGCACGCCAATAGCAGAGCCGAGCCGGAGGGGATCCACGGAAAATTCACGTAAAATCGCGTCCGGAGCTGAACTGAGCGCGAAAACTGCCAATATGTCTTTGTTTATAGCTGGCAAATGACCTAGGAAGCCGCGAGCCGAACAAACGCATTTTCGCAAAGTCCCGTTTCCGACTTCTTTCGCGTATTATACATAGTTGCAGACGGTGTTAGAATACGGGCCGCATAGCAGCATGTCTAACCAACTTAGTCATCTTGCATTGCGTGTTGTACTATGATAACGTAACAATGACGTTCTCTTTTGCGTTTTACTGGATTCTGGTACCCACAAAGTAGTGCGGGTAGTTTATGCGATCATTGTAAGACGACCAGATCAGAGGAGAAAACGCAAGAATTAGCGAAGAGCCTCAGAGAATTTAGGCCTGCTCGCAGCCCAATGAAATTCTAACTGAATGCATACTAACAATATCTGCATTGAAAGTTGTTTTATTTTTTGAAAATCTTGTCACTGTGTGGCTTGTTCCTCCACCCCGCTATTTCTCACAGTTTGACACAATTTTTTTCCAAAGAAAGCTCTTCAGGTCAAATTCCTTACAATATGACTTTGGTATAACTCAGAATATGATCCAAAACTTCAACTGCTCATCAAGTGATAAGGTTACAGAGTTTTTTTTAAACGAATGAGCCATTCTTAAGTACATAATTACTACTTACTATAAATGGCAAATTAGATATAACAACTTGTGCAACTGCGTAGGACTTCATAAAACAAGCATGACCAACTGCAAGATGTGCTTGAAGTTCATAACTGAAATTTTTATTACTTTATTGCTCTGTTATCCAGCAAGTACACTCAAACAGCAACAATTTTGAACTCCACTCCAGCACTGGTCTATGGATCTTTTTTGTGCGATAATTAAACCCTTGCAGACAGCTGACTGACAATAAACTTTGTAAGCTGTCACTTCTGCAACATTCCAAGGGAGCACTTCAACGTTTGAAATGATTACGTGAAATTCTGAGTTCTTTGGAGAAAATATTTTAAGTCGTATTTAGTACCCCAAAATAGTAGGAAATACGAAATTTCCTTTCATCTGGATTCCAAATGATGTTCGAGAGATACGTGGGGTGGGAGATACGGCAACTGACGCTGAATGCATGCCACCATAGAGCTACACTCCAAAGCTTTCTACCAAAGATACGATTTAATAGATCATAGATATGACGTTGCAAATACTTTAGACTTTCCTTACTATTTGATTGCTTATCTCCATAATCATACCATATCGAGGCTATTGTACAGAAGCTTCTCACGTTGCTTCACCCAACCCAATCTGCTGATCCAATTCTCATACGCAAAAATGCGTCAGATCCTATGAATGGAACCCTGTTTATAACACTTGCATCAAACTGGGATGTTTCTTTTCTAAACGTGACATTCTTCTACCAAATGATAAAATTATTGGAAAAGTAAAGATCTGTATGTAAAAGCCCTTACAAAAAAGATTCTTAGTGAAATTTATAAGCGAAATGTAGGTCCTTGCAAAAATCAAATTGAAGAAAACAATGTCAAGTATTGAGCTGATTTTTGCAGCTACCACATATCATTACCCCTTGGTTTCTCCTCGATACGTATCACATCATCCCAATGAATCAACTCCCAGTGATCAACAACTGTTGTTTTTTCCTCACCATTTAGTGTTTAGATGACAAAATCCACTTCAATTTCTTCTAATACAGAGCCTGGTCGCCCTGGTTCATGTCAGCCCTGCAATCCACTGAAGTATTGCAAAATATTTGCACTCAGAATAACCTGTTACTTTCATCACTTTTTCTTTGAGCATCAACGATGGATATCCATCTTCCGGCAGGTGAAAAAAAAAAGCTTTACAGCACTTCCAAGTAACAATGCGTTGCAAGATTTTTATTTCTCAAGTTTTGCTATGTGTATTCGGCTATATGCGCATATGTACAACAATACCCGACAGACAGCAAGCACAATGCTGCTGGCTAACGAATGACCACAACAATGTGCGTTAAAGAATGACCACAACGTGTACACACAGGGTTAAGTAGTGCTCGCGGCGGCTGTCGCACTCTGACCCGCGAGCCGAGCATAAAGCGCAGTTGAGACACGTGTGCAGCCTGAAGCGAATGATGGAAGGCCAGCAGATGCGATCTCGCCTGCACCCCACTCTGGGTTGTGTTTAGCAGCGGCGCGAGCACAAATCTAAACAAAGTAACGGTCGCAATGATGCGACGAACCCCGCGAGATTAGAAGATTCTATAAACTGCCTGAAGATCCCACTTCCGCGGCTATCGATATCGCTTCGAGACGTAGTACTCCTCGGGCTTGAAGTCGCTCTCCTTCTCACCCTGTTCGGCTTTCTCCCGTTCACGAATCGCTTTCCAGATCTCGATGTCACGCCAGTCAGCCTAAAGCAATGCTCTGAGCAAGGGCAAAAACAAAGAGAAAAAGAAAAGAAGTGATCATCTCGAAACTAATAGCTGATTGAGATAAGGATGACTCATATTGAAGTTTATGTTTAGAGAAGGCAAAATTCTCCGCACCATAACGTGTGTTTTCCTCCTCCACAATTAAACAAGTACGCGAGTTCGGCATTCGCACACATGTGTGGATTAGCAGTGCAATGAGAAAGTTCGTATTCTCTTTTTGATTTTTAAGATTGAATTCCTCCTGAGCTACCAGATAAGACATGTTATGATTTGAGCTAGCAGTAAAAGAAAAATGCGTTTCAAGAAAGGTCACCGCCGCGGGTAATTAAGGGTAGATTTTGCGTCACTTGGGTGCAACTGCACCACGGCTCAGATTTCCGCATTAAAACCGAATGCAATGATAAAGACAGTCTTTTCTATTGTTAGGATACCCTCCAAACTCTGCACTCCCGGCTCTAAGCTCATCAGATAACGGAGCACACATTTGATTGTATAAACCATGGTGCAAATACACCAACTGATCCAATATGACGCCTACATGTCAAAGCTACGTAAAGAACCAGCCAGTAGTAAACGTTTGTATGCATCTGGGTCAGCCATAAAGTGCGCAGACAACCTTGCACCAGGGATCTGGCTCATTTAGTGTTAGCCGGTAGCGAAAGAAGACTTGATGGAGCGGATGTGAAAGGTGATGGCTTAGTTTACAGTTAGAACTTGATTTGCTCCCACCACATTTTTTCACAATCAAAAGAACTTGATTTTTTTCTCAAGAAAGCACCCCAGATAGTACTAAACGTGCAATCTTGTTCATACACTCCAAGAAAAACCAGACGAGTTAATAAGTGATTGGTGTCCAGCTACAAAAACTCGATACAGCGACAATATCTTTGAGAAAATTAACACACGCAGATTTAGACCGAAAAAACCCAGTTTCCGTGAGATATATTCAAACACATAAAACCGCGAGAACTGTCACAGTAGTCCTCTTCGCTGTCAAATCACAACGAATCATAAAGTTAGATCTTATCATTACCAGAAAAAATGGAAAGACTATGAAAGAGAGGAAAGACAAATAGTAATACTCGAAGCCAAATCAAAGCAAACACAAGTAAGTTCCCAATTTACCTTCTCAAAGTCAGGACGAGGATTGTGGGTAGGTTCTTCAACCGTCTCGTTCTTTTTGCCAAAGTTGAAGTGCTTATTTTGTCCGTAAATCTCATCATCCTATAATGAGACGTTGCTCAAAAATGAGATGACGGTGTAGAACTCTATCAGCATACCTTGACTGTCTTGTCGAACAGCTTGCTCTGATCTTTCCAATCTTTCTCAAGATTTTTCTCGTCACTCTTCAATAGTTTCTTCAACTTCTTCTTTTCTTTTTTAGCCTCCCTCTTCTCTTTCTTCTTTCTCTTCTTATCTTCCTTGATTTTTCTCTTCAACTCTTTGAGTTCCTCGTCTTCCTGGAAATGAAAGCTCAAATCTGAACTGAGCTACAAAAATCTGAGCTACCTTCAAGGACAAAACTTTCTCTTTCACTTTCTCTTCCATATCCTCTTCTGGCTCTTTGGGCAGTTTCTCTACTGAAATGGTCGAAGATAAAGAGATAACGACAACAGCCATGGTTTGGCAAGAAAAGCATGGTATAATTCTGTAGCATTAAAACTGCTACATATGTTGGTACTTCGAATATCATATTTCAGTTGACATTTCAAATATCATATTCACGGGTTTACTTACTTTCCGTTCTACGAATAGGTTTGGGAGCACATCCTTCTTCCCACAAGCGTTTAGTTTCTTCGTCAGCGTTCTCCTTATATTTGGGCACTTTGTACTGCTCAACATGATCAACCCGAATCTGACGCTTTAGCAGCTGCAAAAGGCCCATGAAGTCACACTACGAATAAAACTTCGGAAAAAATCACTCACTGTGATACCATTAAGATTATCGACGGCAAGCACGGTACTGCGCTGATCTTGATAGCACAAAAAGCAGAATCCTCTCGATTTACCAGTATCAGCATGTCGGAGCAGATTGATGTTTATGACTTCACCATACCTGAAGACCACTTGATAGTAAGCTATTTTTGGTAAATAATCGATGCACAATGAAATAGAAGAAACCCCAAACATTCTTATACCCAGTATACAAACAATGCTCCTTTCTTAATAGCCGTAGATCGATCTTATTCCCTGGAGCTTTCTCACTTAGCCAGACATTGCAACGATGTGCAACTGTTACAACACGGCGGCGCGCGACTGTTTTAGTTCCAAGTGATCAAGCTGGCAGCCGAGATTGTACTCGTGCTGGTACAAGATAGGGATGAGATGAGATTATGGTACCGTCTGCGGAGAAATTTCAATCTCTAGCATGGTGGAACTAATGACAGATCGCTTCCATCGGAGCGCAACTCAATTCAGATCTGAGATTACACAGGCTAGTAGTTCTGAGGCTCAATATGGTGTCACTGCGGTGCCGAGATTCGCTGACAACCTTCTTGTATGGACAAATATAGGATGCTTCATAACGACGGCGTGCAATATACTTGGACGCGAACGCGGCTCTATTAGCCGCAGAGCGCATGAGGCGCAAGATAACAGTCTTTTTCAACCGGACTGAGCGAAGCATTCAAAGTGGAGCAGTGCGTCCGCACTGCTACTGGCTCAGCGAAATAAGTTAGAGTGAAGAGACGCAGACTGCAAAGTGGCGCGAACCGTTGCGAAGCGGACTCCCGCCAGTACAATTTTCGCCTAAACTAAGTTGAAACTTACTATACAACGGTAAAGATACGCGCGCGTTGCATTAGCGCCCGCTCAACTAATGCTGCTTCTGCGCCTTCGTCCCGCAGTAGTCTTTAGCTACTCCTGTAATGCCGACACTTTGCACGCGCAAAATTTCGGGATTACAGGTGTGGCCACATGTGCACGCGCGGATGTTGCCGGCAAATCTGGCACCGCAGGGATACTACATCAAGGGTCAGATCTACCAGAATGTATTATCTGGCAGTAGCATTCAATAATGCTAATACCTGCTTAAAGGCACCGTCCACCCTAAGTTGAGAGTCTTGAACTTTCCGCATATGATAGTAGAGCCCCCTATCAAGCCAATGCTCAAAATCGCTCCGGAATAACGAAGACGCACAACAACTCTCAGATGGCACCGCCCTCCCATACATGCCCGCCCATTTGTGCGCCCATCCAATCACCGTTACGGAAAGAGCCAGTGGGTTCTTCGGCACGAGGATTGTCGGGGTTTTCGTGGATTTTCGACTTCATATTCGGAACTAGGGACATGACCCCTGAAACGACAAAAACCTGGAAGTCGAAAATCTAGGTGGATGGTGCCTTTATCTTCCAAGGCCCTTTTTATTGTCCATCGTTGAGTGAGTTGTTTTTGATGTGACAAAAGGGCTTCCGGAGCCAGTTTTCCAGATAAAACGTGGTAGTTGGTTTATATTGCTACTAAGTATTAGTTTTTCTTGGCTCCCTAGTACGAGGTGAAGATGAACATTTAAGACGATACTGTTCTACAAGCGCAACATAAACTACTACAGGGCCACTGCGGTTGATCAATTCCGTATGTCAACGATGACAAAAGCACACCATTTAGATTTGTCTTTAATTTACATGAAATGATTGATCTGGAGCACGAACTCATCTCCAAGTGTGATCACAGACGCGAGATTTCAGAACCCTGCAAGTAGTAAAACAGCCACAACAAGATCAAGTCTTCGTGACTAAAAAACTGAACAGCCGTCAATTTTTTCAGCGGAAACTTCTGGATCTACTCGCTGACAATTCTTTAGTAAAGAGTACACGTGCGTCATCACAAAGAAGTCTCACTGAAAACGGCACCCTGCTGCTCACACACATACTCGGTGTTTCACTTCGCCTGCATTCCGAAGCAGCAGAAATTGAAGACGGGTAAGCTCTCGCTTAGAAAACTGGAGCTTTGCAGCTGTTGTTGGTGAGTAATCATGAAGGTTTGCACGCATTGACTGTAACATTCGACAAGCTTATGGCCATATGTCAGGCGTTTTATCACAAAAGTACGCCAATGTTAAGACAAGGTTAGGATTGCTCGATAGGCGCAAGCATGCAGAAGGATTCAAAGCACTAAAAAGAAGTGATATAACCCATCAACCTTGCTAAAAATATCAGCAAGAGGAACACAATGCTTGTTGACATGAAGTAAGCTAGGGAAGTACATAAAGAAATGAATCAGAACACACAAAACAATCCTGCTTTCTATTTCTTCAGATTCGAATTTATCCACTAGAAGCTTTGAGCATACTCCTAATGATTCGTCAGCTAACACATTGCTCCTGCGTGCAGACATCAAAAGCGCGCAAACGGTTACTACCTTGCTAGCAACGCCCATAACTGCCAAAAAATTGACCATCGCACATTTTCAAGTCTTACGCCCTATGTTTATTCTTCAGCAAGTGTTGGTGGTACGAGCATTCGGATAATCTTCAAATCTAATATGAAGTACGCTCTCCACTACAAAAGATTTTGAGCTTTACAAGCAATGGATTTGTCCAGTCCAGTGTTTTATCAATGCAGTTCCTAATAGTACGCGAAAGTATTGTTGCACTAAGCGCTCATATCCACAAACTCTTGGATAAAAGATTGAGGCAAGATCTGAACCAGTGGAAGCGAGATCCGTTAATTCTGTTGGTGATAGATCAACTGGGCATTCAACGTGCGACATTGTTCATCGCGACGAGTGTAATTTTGCAAACGCAAATGCTCCAGTGACCAGTGCGAAATGATGAGTCATCAAAGAGGCGATCAAAGAGGCGTGTACATTCGTAAATTAATGGGCCAGATGAAAATGTAAACGAGATAACTTGTGCATTCAGAGGTAGATCCACACTGATGCAAAGACAAACCAAACCACACATTTCGAACGTCCAAAACATTTTGAGTAACGCAACATAGTTGTTTAGCATCAAATGCGGCAAAGACAGCAGTAAAGCAAATTTTGCATTTACTATGCCGTATCAGCTTAAGTCCACAAAAAACATTTTAAACTCTCAGGCAGTCAAACTGTATGACTACCGTGAGGGAAGATCCTCACTAAGGTAAAAATAACATCCGATTGCTGTCTGTGCGAGGTGCCGGCACAGACTGCTTGGAAGCAGGCTGGACTTCGTTTTTGGAGCGAAAGAGTAAAGGGGTATCGTTTTTGTGGGTCCGAAAAAAAAAGCATGTTAGGTTTTCTTAGTCGACGTTTCCGAAAAGGATCGAAGGGGGCTCACGCCAGGCCCTGGTTAGTGTATAGTCAATCCGCGCATACCAGACCAAATTGCTTTCAAGATATACATCGAAATAACCGCAAATACAAAATTGAGGTGAAAGGCATGCCAGTAAACCATATCCGAAAAGCATAAAGGGGTACATATCTGGTGAAAGAAAAGCTAAGACTTGCTTAATGGTGAGATTTATACTGAAACAGCGTATTTTCCATCTTGTTTTTTATACCATGAAGTCCTTAGTTCTGTCAGTAGACTATACACTGCGTTCACTTCGCACCTTTAACAAATGAGAACAAGAGATTCCTCACAGCTGAATTATTCATGTCATCTTCAATAAGAAAGGATATAGTCTCGATAGTACCATGAGTTTTAATCAATGAACAAGTTTGACCGCTAAATTTGAGAGGGATAGAGGTTTGGAGGCTCAGTTAAGATAGCTTTTCCGGCACACAAGCCAAGCACACCGAGACATAACTACAAACTGACGATGAAATTTTCAAGTTTGTTCTATAAAGCAGAAATGAGGAGTCGACTAAACAGGCAAAACAGCGATAACCAACTGCAGCCACAACCAAAGGCAAGGGAGATGCTAGTGCTACACCAAATAAAATTTTCTTCAACAGCTGAGGATGAGACAGGTGGGAAATAAGCTATGTTGGTCACGTTTGAACAGTTCGTTGAACTAGAAAAGTACCAGATTCGACCTCCAATAAGCGCAAGACAGATTATACCGATGTTGTAAGACATACTTCAACAATAAGAGGCAGGACAGCAAAAGTCATATTGACACGATAAAGTAATAAAGTGTATCAAAAATGTTCCGAATAAAAAAAATAGATGACCACCAATCCTAATATTAAGAAACTTTGAAAAAAAGCAAAAAGTATACAAAAAAACTTACTGTGAAAAAACAGTGATTATGTCTCCTTCAGTGAGATCATAAGGCAGACCTCCAATGTAAACCCAAGCAGAATCCTTATAACGCTGATGCCATGACTTCCCCAAATCGCCAGCAATACCCAACTTCAATTCCCTCTCATTTAGCTTGTTTTGATTGCGAATATTCGTGAGAGGATTCATCTAAAAGACAAGATAGTAAGTTGTGATGTCGTGGGAATTCATGGCAATAAAAAGATATGGGCCTTCTAATGTAAGCTAAATGACCAAAAAAATGGAAAAACGAAAACAAAGACAAAACGCACACAAAAAGATGAGGTACGCCATACGAAAAACCCCTGTTGATGCGTACATCACAACGGGTTTTGTGCAACTGCGGCTACCGTAGTTTCTCTTGCAATCAGTGACGCGCACATCGTATTTATTTGATTATTATAAAACTGAGAAGAGATATTGAGTGATTTTTCTTACTCAAAATGCAACTAATGCAGATACTCTACCTTGAAAAATTTATTACTTGGATGTTTGTTAGATACGGAAAAAATCACTGCATTTGCATATAGGCTGATTTTTTGCACGTTAAACAACGTGTCGTAAGTGTCACGGATACGCAGCATCATTAAGTGCCCCGATACGCATGCTGTTGTTGCATCAGTTTTTACTGTACGCATTTTTGGTTCGTCCGAAAGGATACTATGGCTCGTTCCATCTTGGTGAACCCAGGGTAACCCATCCTCCATCGCTCGTATACCGATGCTGAGTTTTGTGGATTATGTGCATGCCTTTGTAAGTCACGGAGCCTTCACACATATCCAAAGCAGGGTCAAGCGTGTTGATGCGATCCTGGACCCTCATTTACGACCCCCCCCCCCTTGAAGGTACCCATCCGTACGACCCCCCCCCCCCTCCCCCCCCCCCTCCCTCCCCTCCCTCATGTATCCCCCTTACCTCACCTGCCCACATTTCTCGCGGTAACCTGCATAAACGATTGTCAGTCTCAAAAAACACCTGCGTGAGAACTTCAGTGAGGTTTCGGAAGCAGAATTTCTAGGCCAATGGGTGCGTCCAGCATCTCTAGCACATATACACACCTTAAATAATGTTTGAGATTCTGCAAGTTTACTTTTGAATTTTCAGGCATACTTCAGGCCAGCAAATTCGGTTCCCGTATGCGACACAAATTTTTGCACGGAGAAAAAAATTGCATTCTCGAACTACAAATTATGTTTTCGACTAAGAAGCTTACTTTCTACCTTTTGCACAGTTTTTCCTGCGAAAAAAACCGCTTTAGCGCCATCCAGAACGATGTCAAAAACGTGCATGAGCACGCTAGTTTGAAAATTCGTAACTAAGGCCAGGAAAAGACTGAGAGGCTGCCAAGAACAGGTTCTGTAGCATAGTGCCCAGACTATTCATAGAAAAAGTTTCAGCCCTTGAGGAGCAGTGAGCTCGAAAAAATTTAGATCAGGCTCTCGCAAATTTAGATGCGACCCTAAAAAGCAAAAACTGGGATTTTTGAGCTTAAAATTTTGTAACTTACCAGAGAAGTTATAAAACAGCCTGAAATTTTTATGAAGGAAAGTAGGAAGATGGCGTCATATTACAGCAAAATTGCAGCCAACAAGCTTCGATAGCTCCGGAGAAATTTAGATCAGGCGCAGATACGACCCCCCTTTTCTCATTTTTTGCTACCATACATAAAATCATAAGAAAATCCGCAGTCTATAAAATATCACCAGATTTCGCACAGCAGTAGCAGGGCTTATCTAAAGTACATATAAATTGTAAAGGCCGCATAACTGGCATTACAAAAAGATTTACGAATTATTGATTGTCATCGTTGATCTACATGTGCGCTTTTGTCGAGTGTGCGAGTCTTCAGTGAGCCTTCGGAAGCAGGATGTCTACACCAATCGGTACATCCAACATCTTTATCACACATACATGCCTTTGGTAGCATTTGAGCTTCTGAAAGTGTTTATTTTTTGGATTTTATTCATGCCAGCAGGGTTCGATCCCCGTTTGAGACATTATTTTGCGGGAGAAATAGCGATTCCCATAAAAGAAAGAACTATGTCATAATCTTTCAAAAATGCAGCAAATGAAGCTAATTTTTACGCTTGCAAATGTTTTCAAATTATTGTTCACTCGTTTTTATTTGATACATTGGTACACGGCATTCCATGAATTTATTTTTGAGAACATGTAATAATTACTTGCTATTTGATTTGCTCTCAATCGTACGGTTTTTCATTCAATCTACCACCTCTTACGACCCCCCCCCCCCCTCACCGTAGGCCCCCTTTACGACCCCCCGTTGCGACAGTCGCATCACACGCTTGATCCTGATCCAAAGTCGCAACCCAGGTATAGTTTGGACACGAAATCGGAGAAAAATTTTGGTAAAAGTCGAGAAAACATAGAAGGTGCAAGAATGGCAAGCTCTGCCCTCAGCTCACATCGTATACTGCAAGCCCTATTAACTATAATGCCAGATTTGTATCTCCTTACGTACTCTTTCAATCGAAGAATAGTTTTACATCAAAGAGCGAAGGCATTTTTGCATTCTGGGACTATCATTATTTCTCAATCTTAAGCCGCTGAAGGAACAGCAAATGTTTAATACTATCCGTGTCTACTATGTAATGACCATGTTGGATGTTTTTTAAGGAGATCCGAATCTCAAGGCAGTTGAACAAATTCAGTTTTCTCTTCAAAGTTTCCCTGGATTACTACTTAGGTGGATCTTTGGTGGTGATTTTGTAGAACATGCTTCAAGTCCGCTAGCAAAACAAAAACATATTGATTTATTGAGAAAAGAGGACTTTTGGGACAATCTATTATGATAGATTAGACCGTAATGGCACTGCGCACTTGCATTAACATGATTGTTTTCTTTGCGATGGCACACTGACGTAAGTGGTATCAGTCCAAAAACAGTAAGAACTGGTCTGAATCCAGAGAAATCTTGCGTTACGGCTACAGTCTTTGTCATTTCATATGATTATATATATACTGTACAAAATGCACCGTTGGATCTTCATCCTGGATTTTTGGTGGGGGAGGCGTTCCAAGAGATCATTGTGTATGGAGAGGTCCCTTAATGATTTCTCCCCTTTTTGGATACAAATCTACTCACAGCTACTTGGAAAGACAATGATTGCTGCTCCTCATACAAATTCCTTAACTGGTTGTGTATGAGCCGGAGGACGCGCAGGAGGAACCAAGGGCCCAGCCGCGTGTATCCGCAGGAGATAATTAAGAGCGCGAGCACTGTGGAGAAGATTTGGCAAGGATCCAGGGGAACTTGGCAAGAGAATCCAGAGAAAATCCTAAGAAAGTAAACTTCTGTAACTTTGCTTGGGAAAGTGTTCGCAAAATAAGTGAGGCAATTTTGAAATCGGCGTTTCATGACGCATTTATTTGGGAGATAAACGGGTGCTAAATATTGTTGATTCTCAATCAAAAGCATTACATTTCAATTTCTTAAGAACTTTGCTAGAAAATTTGGAAGAAACGCCTCATGCTCAAGTTTTAGAATGTCGATCAAGAGTTCTTGAATGTTTGAAAACCGATTTTGTTTAAACCTTTGGATATCAATGGAACGAAGTCGTCAGATCGTTGCGCAACCAAAGAGCTATGATAGCATATCAATTTGGAAACAAATTAAGATTATTTTACACTTCTCCTAAGACCAAAATAATTTTCTAAACTGTGACAGTAAATCGCAGGTATCAACAAAAAGATTTTTTTTTGTTCTAAGTGCAGCGTAAGAATCGAATGGTTTATGTTTAACAAATCTTGTTCAGATTTCAAGCGGTGAGCACATCGTTGGAAAATTTCGGCAGATTTGGAACCCGTAAGAAAATCTTACATCGATGTAAAAAAATTAATATCTCAATTTTTGCCTTACCACCATCTTAAGTAGCAGCACAATTTAAAAAGATTTGAAAGATGCTGAAACGCCAGAACGTATTTCCGTAAGCTATCAGACTGAACCTCAGAATTTCGGGGCTATTTCTGATATGTTGAATCTGAATTCTCCAGGAACTGTAACGAACATTTTTTTTCATTCAATAGCCGTATTCCAGTTTCAGGTTGCCGGCTTTGAGTTTGCCTTCCAGATTTCCAGCAATTTTCCAAATAAAAAAATTTTTTCGTTTTACAATTATCAGTTTTTGTGTTCTTATTCTTATATTAGTGAAGGTCTTGAAAAGCGGAATCCAAAACTGTTTCCATAATTTCTCGAACATTTTCTCAGACAAAGTTATGGGGATTCGTTATTACAAGTTTTCTATAAGTTTCTTTGCCAAATAGTTCTGGATCATTGCCAAATCTTCTCCGCAGTGCTCGCGCTCTTGACTGTCTGCGGATATGGCGGCAAGGCCTTTGGTTCCTCCTTCTTCCGCCGTATGAGCCTGCGGTCCTTTGTGAAACCTTAGTACCTAGTTGCCGTTCGACAAAAAATGAGACAAATTGGGAAACAACTAAACGAAAATCAAGGGACATCCGTTGGAGTATTCATAATTTTGCTAAACGTCGTTGCTTTCTTGTTATACGTTAGACTGTTCTTGCACATATACGGAAAATTACTGCATTTGCATATAAACTGATTTTTTACACGTTGAGCAACGTGCACGTAACTGTCACGTGTACGCAGCATCACCACATGTCGTATTACATTTCAGCGTTTTCACCGGTATCGTATTTGTTTGCTAGATCAAGTAGGATCAGACTATGTTGATGGGTCCCCTGTTGTTGGAACCCAACAGGGATGAGGGATAGGATTGGGGGTATGTTGCTGTTGAATTTGATGTCCATAGAGTACGACGATAATTAGATATCCGATTATCGAGTACTAATTCACAAGTCCAAGAGTTAGTTTATTCGTTTATCCCGCGAGATTTTGAATCCCGACCTGGTTTTACTTGCTTTCTTTTTATTGATATTGAAATTAAGATTTCCGAAAGATCAATTGTAAAAGTAGTGCATGCATGCACGCTTAACACCATGAAAGTCCTTCATTTCTTAATCTAGTGAAACATCTAAAACAAGGTAGGTTAATTTTGATTTGCAAAACGTAAACGTGGATACTGTGGTTCAATCATTTAAAAGCTTTATGATATTATTTATTCGGCTCAATTTATTTGAAGTTTCCTGTATCTTCCACTCAAAGGAGATAACCATCG